ACATAGAAGTGAATTAAAATGTGTCGTATAAATGTTCCCAACACTTTTGTGAAACACTTGCTTTGAACATTCTGTGAATGTTATTACTAGCTGGGTGAGATGCAAAATTGCTGAAAGTTAGTTACTGGACAGAGGTACTTGGTTGCAGAAGATAGGAACCGCAAAGACTCCACCGGCCACAAATTATCAGGCACTAGCCTGGGATAAGCCTTGGAGAAAGTATATCTGGGAATTTATGTATTTAGGACTCAGATAAATCTTAAACATGTAGGGAAAATATAGGTATAAGACTAATATACTTAATACTGAACTTCATAAGCATGATGAAATTAAGCAAAACAACATGTCTTTAGTCGACAATCTCACGATACAATGCTAGAAATGTATAGCAAATGCTAGCTTTGGTTTATGATGATAGCAAGGAATTTGAAAGTTTTCAGACATTTAAAATATAAAATTTTCTAATTAATGGACTTTGTGAAGAAATATGGTGACAGGGTAATAAATGAAGATGATATAAAAGTTTTTCATTGCTCTATCATCAAATGAATTATTGGAAGGCAAAAATCTGTAGTACAGTTCTAAATCCACATAATACCGCTACCGACAGTAAAGAAAGCGAGAAAGGTTATTCAGAATGAAAAAATTTCAATTGATAATTGACAGGGAATTCTCAACACAGCAATTACAGCCCTTAAACAATGGAACTTTGTAACAGGACAAGAAATTATGCCCATCTATAGATTCAAAGAGAAAGTATTGGCACAGAAAATCAATTAACTTAGAAAACAATTACATTTGAAAAAACGTTTTAATAAAGCAATCAAATATTCACCTTTTCTTGTAAATTTTGATTCCCTTAAAGTTATAAATGCTTCATTATTTCATAAACCACTCTTTCATATTTTGATAATTATAATATCTACATGTCCTCTTACTAGATTTAAACTGATGATCTAACAGATGGAAAAATCCCAAATCCAAAAGCACTGAGGTCACGAGTCCAAATTTAGGACTTTGTACTGTACTCTAATGTTTTTTTTTTTTTTGTTTTGTTTTGTTTTGTTTTTTTTTTAAATCACAGAAAATTTAATTTGGATCAAATAATAAATATATGTTACAGCCAAGAGTTAAATGAAAACATTACAAAAAAACTCCAGCCAAATGCACAATGACCATAGTATTTGACAACTTGCAAAATATGACCTCTGTTGTTATGCAATATATGAAAATCACATGTAAATCTGAGTAAATATTTAAATCCATTAGTTTATATTGTCTTTTGTCTTGTTGTAATACTATGTATTTTTTAATTAATTTTTGCATTTAGGGTAAAGCTTTATCTGTTGTAACATATTTTGCTTATTAAGGTTTATTTCTAGCAAAGTACTGTAGATCTAAAAATTTTGGATCCAACAACATTCAAACTGTGAAACTAACTTAACTAGAATGTAAGATACAGAGATATTCAAGACCAGCCTTGGCGACATCTCGCGATTTCTTGTCAAACATCTTCTGGACATTTCAGGAAAATGCATTTTTTAAAGCTCTATCAAAGATTTTCTCCCAAGCTTTCAGAAGCCTGTTTAATACATATAGATACAGCACAAAGAGCCAGGTTCAGTTATTACATACTTGCCAACCTATGACACTCAAAAATCAGGAGATTTTTTTTAAGAAATCAGGAGATTTTTTGCAATGTTAAAAAGATTTTTAAATGATAAAAATATAGTTTTTAATAATGAATTAACTAATTCTTAAATGCAAGCAACACAAAAATACCTTACACATGAAAAACATTTTTATTACTTGCATCGTTTAAGAAAAAAAGAAAAAAAGAAAAAAAAGTTTAATCAGTTTTCGTACAAATGTTATGAACAGTGGCAGATTTTGCTTTCGTTAAGAAAGAAACTTCATAATTTTGTTCGTAGCAACTGTTCATATTGTTCATAGCAAATCAACGTAGGCCTGCTTTCGCTAATAAAAGTTTTTCTAATGTGTCATCACTAATATTAGATCTAAATTTAGTCCTCGTTTTCGCAACAACACTGAAAATCCTCTCACACTCTGCATTACTATGGGGAACTGTCGAGATGGCCAACATAATTCTAGACAGTTCACTATATTTTAAAATTCCATCAACACCTTTCAGTTTCCAATTAAACTCCACTGGGTGTCAATCCTAGCTGATCTTTATAACTTCATCAAAGTTTTCTAATTGTAAACTGCAAATTGCGACTGCAATATTTATCAGTGCCAACATCAATATCATCATCTTTCATGACTAAATGAAGTAACACAGAAAATCTGTTCAAAAAGTACCTTATATCAGAAAAAGATGCATTTGCTAGAGCAGAAACATCAGCAACTTTAGCATGCAAAATCACTTCATCGTTGACTGGAAATTTATGTAGTATGTAATCGCATACTTGACAGAAGTAACTTCTAACATGAAGATAAAACTAATTTTTGTCTTCTGAAAGTTCCTCCAGTACTTTTGTAGTTGCAGCTTCTATAACCAAATCTTCATCTTTCTTCTGATTATCTATTTCACCACAAATCACATCATATATAGAATTACAAGACAAACCACAGACTGGTTTTACAAACTTTGATTGAAAAAAAAACTTTAAACAGATCATAAATCATTGATTGCAAAACATAAATTTATGGAATTCTCCTTTGTAGAACTGTGTTAAGAACATCGAATGATGGCAAAATGAATTGTAAAAAAAAAAAGCAAAAAGCTTTGTTAAGGTCCGAAGAAGAAAACAAAGATTCATTCTTCACAAGATAAACTTAGAGTAATTAAAAAATGTTTCGTGTGTTGAGCAGTTTTTTTTTTTTTTTTTTTTTTTAATATTTTGAGAGAAATTTGTATCAGCTTTACACTTATATCTTGCAGTATTATTTTGAGAACTGCCAGTTGAATTGCTGAATGGTGCTGAAATTATTTTTCTCAAACCTATTTTTAACAATGGAAGTAGTAACTACATTTCCATTTACTTTAGGTATTTTATAACTTTCAATAGAGCCTTTTATCTTAACTCTCGAAGAATTTACTTTTCCTTTAAAAAATGCAAGAAGTGGGTTTCATTGATCGAGGATTCTAGATAAGCATTTATTTAAAGACAGCTAGTGTGTACACACGCTTCAAAATTTTTCTTATTTTAGTATTATGCGGCTGTTGGAACTGTTTCAATTTTTCCTTCCTTTTAGAACTCCTTTCAAGATAATAATAAATATCAACAGTGTGTTCATCCACATTTATTGGTATGAACCTGCCCCTTTGCTGCTAAATTTAAGAGATGACAGGTGAACCCCATAATCTGCAAATCTGAATTTTCCTTTCTTAAGATGCCTGCAACACCAGTCTTCAAGCCTACCATTACTGATGCATTATCGGCACCAAGTGCTAAGCAACTATCCAGAGAGACTGCAATTTCTTTTGGATAGTTTTGAATCGGTATTATTGCTTCCATCTGTAGAGAGGCAGAACGGAACTGTTTTAATGCAATCAATAACTGAAGATTTGTTTTTCAAACCCATTTCTTTAACAATTGCACCTGTTTTGGTCCTTGCACTTGAGTATTTCTTAGCGATTTCACTATCGGGAAACATTTTTCTAAATAAAGCTGCAGCGTGATCCGATGCATTCAGTGGCAGGTTTGTGCTTCAGTAAAAATGCAGACATTCTGCATTAATAACTTTTTGGTCCTTTGTTTCCGAGAAAAATTTAATTTTTCATTTTTTTCAAAACAACTCTAGTCATTGTGTTTTTGTGTACATACATGTTTGAGAATATCTGCCCTTCCACCATGCGAAATCGAAAAATCGCAGCAGCAGACGGTACACATTGCAAGTTTATTATATTTCCTTGAGGAAATAATGGAAGGAAAGTCAACTGTGTACGATTTTTGAAACGTACACGAGTATTTCACCTTTCTCGCAGACATAACAAAAGATGATAATTTCTAAAACTATTTCCCGAAGGCATGTGTACTCACACAACTCAGGACAAGATGAACGAAATAACTAAAGAACATTCAAATAACAGCCTTGAGCTTGCATTGTGCTCATTGGCTAATATATGCCAGATGGCACACAGTGGAGCTCGATGCCCATTGGAGAACTGGAGTTTGGTTTGGTTTGGTTTATTAGATTACGGCAAAGCACTCGAGGGCTATCTGCCTTAAGGGAGGGATGCCTTTGTGGAGGACTTTCTAAGGGAAACTGGCTCGTATACACATTACACATGGGGAAACCACGAAAACACATATGCAGCCAGCCCATTTGCGGGATTCGAACCTCGGATGGAGAACTGAAGAATGACGTTTCTGTATACGTATGCTCTCACTCACAAAGCAGAAATTCTTATCTGATTCGCAAGGTTTTGTCTTAGATACAATCTACAGAAAATTCAATTGCTTTCAGATGTCCAAAAATCACTTTTTTTTTTTTTTTTTTTTTGTTTCTTTGTTCATATAATGAAGTATTAAGCCAAGTTCATTAAAAATCGTGAGAAATTATAAGAATAAGTCGGGAGAAATATATTGTAAATCAGGTTGGCGGGAAAGCGGTCAAAAATCGAGAGAGTTGCCAACTCTGTTATTAGTTAATCAGCACTGAAAAACTGCAATTTTAAAAACAGCTTGTGCAATTGCATTTTAGAATTTATCCTGCAACTGATACTGGTAATTTAAAAGTTTTCTAATGTGTGTTAAGTAGGATTTTCATAGTATCTGCTTGAGTTTATTTTACAGCATATTATTATCAATTAAAATAAACTGTCAATTTCTTTCTACTCGTTTACAGGGATTACTTGAAAAGACATCCACCACTCCACAGCTCACAACAATACGTACAGTGTACTTAGATGATTCATCTTTTCGGTTTCCATTAAAAAATTATACATCAGAATTAAGTATTATTTTGTATATCATAAGTAAACAGAATTAAAATAACAAGTCTAAATGAAAACAAAATTTTAATAAACTTACGATTAATGTGATCTATATAGTACACTCCAATCTGATTGTCAAAACATTCTTCCCAACCAAAAGGTAATTCATCTCCAACACAATCAGCAAATGTTTGAGGTTTTGTATATCTAAAAAGAAAATATTATTAAACAATATGCATTTAAACAATGAATGCTACAATCAAACATTAATTTTAACTCCCTAACCCTTAAAAATCTCCTAACTTTTATCGTCATTATAATAAATATGCGCAGTATCTATTGAGGGAACTGAACAAAAATTATTTTCCAAATGAAAAATGCAATTACAAAGTAACTGACATACAAGACTATTAAATTTTATGAGCAACTCAATTTTGGTTTTCCTACGGATAGATTACAGTACAAAATCAATGACTTCTACTAATTTTATTACAGTACAAAGTCCGAAATGCGGACTCGGCAGGACTTCAGCAATTCTGGATTTGGGATTTTTCCGGATATTAGATTATCAGTTTAAATCTAGTAAGATGGCATGTAAAAATTATAAAATTAAAGATAATTAACTCGTGATTTATGCAATAATGAAGTATTTATGATCTAAAGGGTAACAAATTTACCAAAAAAAACTTATTTATTTGTTTACCTTATTAAACATTTCTGTCAATGTAAGTTGCTTAAGCTGCTTCATTTTTTTGTGCTAATACTTTCTCTTTAATTCTGTAGACAGACATAATATCTTGTATTCTGTAGACATAATATCTTGTTCAATTATACTGTTGATGTCCTATAACTGCTGTGTTGAGAATTCCGACTAACCTGTCAATCGAAATTTTTTCGTTTTTCACATTTTTTGTTTTGTTTATCAGCTTTATATTGCTTATTCTTTTATCTCTAGAAATAAAGTTAACATTTACAAAATCAACACAATACCATTCATTTATCAAAATGTTATGATGTCTGTTTCTGACAAATCTTCTATACGATACAGCTGAATAGTTTCAGTTTTAAGGTAATATACTGGTACAGCATTTTTCACCTTGTGAATTATGATTTGATAACCATGTATTTATTACACTGGTTTTTAATATTAGTTCAAAAGGAAAATATTTACATGAGCTACTAAAAATGCTGCAGTTACCTACCAGAAGCTCATTATCAAAGTTTCGGCGAACCTTGTTCTAGATATTACTCAAAGTACCCTGAACAGACAAAGTTTTATCATTCATATTTCAAGAATAAAAAAATAATATAATAATTGAGAAGACGAATGAGGATCTGGTTCAATATTTAATTTCAAACTGAACTTTAATTAAAATACCATATTTTCTGATTGGGCTGGCTACCTTTTTTGAGTTTTAATTAATCACATGAAAACTATCAGACTAGCAGAAAGGTTATCTTGATGGAGTGCTCTGTACTGAAATTTTACTCGTCTTCACATTATTAAAATAGTGAGTCGCTTGGTTAAGAAGTTACTTCACATGAAAATACGTAATTTCCCCCCCTTTCCAAAGGATTTTACTATTGTAGGGAGAAGATACTTTTTTATCACTGCATATTATCTAAAACTATGCGCAATATATAAATAAATTAATATCTAAATTAAAAGTTCCTTAAAAAAGAAAAGAAGCTAAGTGAGACACTAACATTCATGAATCAAAAATCCATTTTAAAAAAATTTACTAATAATTGTAAATATAGTTAACTAGTTATACTAAAATTTGTAGATAAGCTAGCGATGTGAAAATGGACATGAGCTAAAATATGAAAGAGCTAAGGAGTAAAAAAGATAAACAGAGACAGAGATAAACCTCCATTTTGCCTTCCCCCTGCATATGGGACTGGGATTAGGAGAACAGTATTGAAACTGTGGAAAAGACATTCATATGCAAGTGACAAGAGAGAAGGAAGATTGGGTGAAGCATCACTTGGAAAGACGAAAGGACTATATAATCAAACTTCCTACTCTGGTATTATTCAAATTAGTGGATACTTTAACATGTTTTACCTTTTTTACTAGCATGCAGGAAAAAGAATGGTTGCTATCATTTTCTGAAACAGTATCATACCATTTATTCATGGTTTAAATTTAGCCATAATTTCTTTTAATTCTTAAGAAACTGTAATTCTAGCCACAGCCCCAAATAAGATGAGGTTGGCAATTTTATTTTCTTATAACTATTATCATTAACTTATGAATTTATTAATTTTATTTATGGTTTACATTCAACTTTAACTAACATCTGAATTATTAATTAATTAATTAATTAATTTCTGACAGCATTCCACAGGGCTCCTGCACTTCTAATTTTAGAAATTAAGCACTGGGCACAATAACAAACAGCTAGCAGGTAGAAATTCATAAGTTTCAAAACATTTTTTTAATTTCATTAACAGTACTCCAAATAAAACCTTAAGATTTTTAAACTATACAATTTCTTTCTTTAGTTTTTAAATATTGCAATGGACTGGATTATTTTAAATATGGCAATGCATATCTGGATAAGGTGGGCAGATAACTTAAAAGGGAGGCTTTTTAGCACTCCGAGTGACAATACCGGCTTTATTCAGCCATCAGGTTTTTTGTCACTTTATATATATTAGCTTATATTTTAAGATATTTTGCTTTCTTACTTCCTTTAATAATGTAAATGTCATCTTAATGAAAGTAAGTTTATCAAATTAGAAACTAAAATAATTAATTATGCAAATTTAGCTAATAAATGCTGTTTATATAAAGTCTTCATGACAGATCCTAAAATCCACACCACTCACAGGGTTACGGAGAAATGGTTCATATCCATGTTACACATGGGAAAAAACGCATTAACTTCCATGCAAGTTGGGATCTGAACACGGGTCAGCTTTTCAATTCCCAGTACTTTTAAGTTGAGCTGCTAACAAGTTTCCAAAATTGTTTTAACATATGTATGTGATAGTTTTTGCTTTTTTGTAATCAGATGAAGGTTCTGCATATATACAGTTCAAATAATGTGATAGAAAATCCTAAAAATGTGTCCACTGTAATTCCATATAATTTCTCTTTATAATTATTGCACAATAATAAATTTTAAGTTCATGGCAGACCCAGTAAGTTCCATTAGGTTATTGCAAATGAAATGGATACTGAATGATGTCAGATTTCTACTAGCTGCAGAAAAAAGCAAGCACTGCAATTTATGAAAATGTTTTGTACTGAATGATGGATATTGAATGATGTCAAATTTCTACTAGCTGCAGAAAAAAGCAAGCACTGCATTTTTATGAAGATGTTTTTTGTCATTAGATAATGTTAAACATGCATAATGCAATTGTAGAATTTGTTTTGCCAGTTTTAGAATACAATAAACTCTAAGATGAGCTACTCAAGGTTGAAGACGATTCTGACTTTGCATGGAGGTGGTTGCCTTAGAGATGTTCGTTAATGTTTGAAAAAATATTGCACATTTTCAAAGGTAATCATCTCAGGGAAGAGTTCGCCTTGAGAGGCTCGGCTATACTTTCACAACTTTTACATGCATGAAATGCTAATTTAATAAACACACAAAATTCTAAAAGAACTATTTCATGAATATTAAGTAAATAAATTAAATACTGACATTTTATTTATATTATATTTTTTAAGTAATCTTGAAATATACTGTTCCAGATATTTTTACCTCATAGAAAATTATCATTAGCTATAAAGCACAGAAGCACATTTTAAGCTTGTCAACATATTCTGAACAGTATTCTAAAAATTTTCTTTCAGCTTAAGGCAGAAGGAAGTTCATTAAAAACTGAACTTACTCAATTTCTGAAAATACATAAATATATATATATATATACATGAATTTGCTTAGCTAAATACATAATAATAAAAAATTAAGACATAAAAGGCTGTCATAAAAGCAGATTAAAAAAATACTTAAAAGTGATCATATTAGGTGATGAACACAGTTTTTGTGATTTTTTCTAATTTTCAGAATGTCGTTTTGCAAGCCCGAAAATACTTGCTTCTCTAAGCAAAAACATGAATGAATATACTCTGTCCCAAAAGTTTATAGACATATTTAAGAAAAATAAAAATATACAAAATTACCCAATTAAAATGTTTATTTACAATACATGTGTCTCGCATTTGAGCAAATATTTAACAAATATATCAATTTGTCTTCTAAAAAAAATAAAATAGAAAAAATGCACATTCCAAAAATTTATAGACAAATGTAATTTTATGCAAATTGGTTAGCAAGAATCATGATGGGGAACTAGAGCCTTTTATATGAAAATGCCCTCATTCAAACCTCCAATTTAACAGAGAAAAAAGATCATTTGAACTTCATTTTAAGTATGCCTAAAGCTACGCATCTTTCTGATGCTAAAATTAATAGAATTCTGAATTTTAAATTGCACAGTAGTTCTTTTAAAGAAAATTTGGAACTTCTAATTGATTTTGGGACTTATGTCTCTTAGGACACCACATCAGCCAAAACCACATTCAAGAAGACCCAAAGTCATGGGTAGTTGCAGCGATAAGTCAATACAAAGAATGGGTCCGACACAGAAATAGTCGTTTCGCCACATTAGAAGAGCTTAAGGATTGCAAATATCCAAAAACACTGTTCAAGGTAAATCAAGGAATTTGGTTATATGATTCAAGTAAAATGGCTTGATTGTTACACTCTTAAAGCTTCAAAAATGAATGAGACTGCAATGAGCCTGCAGCTACATGGCATATGGTGGTAAGTGGATCTCTGTACTTTCCAGCGATGAAAAAAATGGTCAGTGACGAATCGGAATTGTTCTGATGGGTATTTATATAGCTGGCATACCTTACAAAAATAGCCTTGGAGTTATTTCAGTTGGAACAATGAAGGTGAATCTGTTATGTTATGGGTAGCTTTCAGTTTCAAAGGGCAAAAGGGTTTCACCTTTCCAGGTCGTGGGCAAGATTCATCTTAAAACACACAGAAACACTAAGGGACCATTTTATGCCATTTGCAGAAAACACTGGAGGACAGAATTGAGGGTACCAGCATGACAATGCTCCCAATTCATACTTCTCAAGCTACAAAAAATTGCTTGGACATGGAAAATGTCATTATTCGAGTGGCTGCAAATAAACCCCGATTTTAACCCAATTGAGAATGTGTGGGGCATTGTGT